TTCTTCTTTTTTGTTGGTGTGTGTGTATATATATATATATATATATATATATATATATATATATATATATTTCCTAAACAGTATTTATATCTCCAAACAAATCAATACCAATTCAGAATGTAATTGAAAGCTTGTGAATAGGAATTGAATTGACTTGTGAAATCTGGGTCAATACCCAGCCCTAATTTTGTTTGGGCCCCATGAACTTAAGTGGCCCTCAGAGCCAAATAACATCAGAACAGACCAGTACGATCCTCGGGTTCAGACCAAGCAAGCAAAGCAAATAAAGTGTGAAGACCTACATTGTACTATGATATTTCATCCCCAAATCCAGAATATGTGAATACAGCCTAATAATCTGCACACAGTATAAAATCCTCACTCTCAAAACTTCTGATGTGACCAGCGCTGGGAGAGCTAACTCTACAATCTGGTTGAGTACAGTAAGCCGGAGAGTTTGTGAGATACCCGGCAGCCTGGCCTAATCGATCCCGACCCCCTTTCAGTTCCTTAATAACTTCTCCGTTGAAAGCCCTTCAGTTCATCAGTGTTGTCTTTTAATTAAAGGCAATCGCTGTGGCGTGCTGGCGCTGGCGGAGCGGCGACTCCTCCAGGGGGGCAGTGCTCTTTGAATACACTGATAATGGAATTTGACATTGCTGGAGATGTTCAACCATTATTCTATTTCTCTGTGTTCTCAGATAAGTGCGATAAAGGCCTTTAAGTCTTTCATTTCCTCAAGTCTTTTTTCAGAATGGAGAAGGGATTGTTCTCTGTTGAACTTACACATGTACTGTAAGTAGATTAATCAATTAAGCCCCTGCAGATAATAAAAAACTGGAGCACTTTAGCGGAAATATCACTTTTAGTCAAGGAGAGCGAGCGCCAGCAACAAAGAGTTATCTTTCTGCTCTTTAAACATTGAGCATTTGTTCATGGAATGGTAAGTTATTACCGCTCACTTTTTCTTCTTTTGGTAAAAACGGGGCCATGGCTTTATCTTGGAAAAGGCCGCATGGTTTTTAGATTCACTGTACATATGAAGTCAAGACATGGGGGGGTTAAGACCCCATGAAATCGCTTTCAGACTATGTGGGCTACAGCTTTGAGGTCATCTACAGCATATAGTAGTGCAACTTTTTGATGCTACAGACCTTCAGATATGATGATCTCTTTGCGAGGGGCACCCATCCAAAAATACAAAGGCAGATGCAAACACTACTGTTCAAAGGTTTGGGTTGCAAGATTTTTATTTTTAATTTTTTTAGAAGTCACTATTCTCATCATGCTGCATTGATTTGATCAAAAATAAAGTAAAAACAGTAATATTGTAAAATATTATTACAATTTATAAAATGAATACATTTTTATTATATATATTATTTGTTTTTTTATATTAATATATATATATATTTTGAAACATTGATACATTTTTTTCAGGATTCTTTGATGAATAGAAAATTGCATTTATTTGAAATATTAAGACTTTTACATTGTTACAAAAGAAAACCACTTTGCGTCCTTGCCGAATAAAAGTATACATTCCTTTTAAAATCTTACTGACATCAAACTTTTGAACAGTAGTGTATTTTCATGTTTAGTTTCATGCATTATTCCATAGTAA